TATGTTGGAGGTGGTTGACACGCGATGGGTAGTTGCCAAGCCACTTTGTTGGAAATTAAGTCCGGTTTCGGATATTCGACGAAAATTACCTGTAAAATAATACAACAATAGATGGGGAAATTCATTAAGAGATAGACTGGCTTATGTGTTTGAATCTGATTGATTTTGCATTTGTAAAATAAAAGTCGTTGCTCTCATCCAGGAAAATGCTGAATNGCTGAATGTGATATATTAAATTGTTGACGAAAATGCCCATATACTTGACAGAACAAACTTTGAATACGAATTTGGTATTAGATGAAACGGATTCATTTGTAAGCAGAGAGTAAGAAGGGTGTAAGACAATTTCATGGCCTCTGTGGGTCTTTTCAATTTAGATCAGATTGGGTTGACAGGATTTATTTAAGATAACGTTTTACTGAATTTTCTAAAAATAGATAGTAAAAATGCTTGACAGAGGAAAGTCTGATGAACGTTGTTAGGTACCACAGAGTGGCAACACTCGTGGAAAATCAAAAACGGAGTGATACTCTGAAGGTATTGATCCGAAATTTATTTTAGCTTCGGCCACGAAGTCTCTAAATGGATGTCGTGTCACATGACACGAATCCATCAACACTTGACTGTTGGCCTTCAGACCGACAAGAAATATGAGAAAAATTTTGTTTAAGGAATTAACGCTTATTGAATAGATAGGTATGCTGGTTATTTCTGCTGACGATCCTGTTGCAATAGACAGTTGAGGTCTTTTTCTCTACTAATGGTCCTTGTAATGATGATCCATTCCTGTCAAAATAATCTCTCCGATGGAAGGTACGTTTTACCATACATGGTAATTAAGAATCGACCTTACTTCCTATCTCGAATCAAGAGCTCGAGTTTCCATCGATAAATTGCGCGTTGTGCACGTTTGATCGAGTATCTTACATTCATCAACATAAATACATTCTCACAATGCATGCAGACCAAGCTTCGTCTTAAAAATCTATTGTTTGGCAACGACACTGTTTAAACGGTCACTCAGTTTTGTGTTTAGTGGAATCTTCATCTCTTCATGCAATGAGTCTTTCAACTGCCATAGTCAGATTTTGGACATCCACTGTCTGGTTTAAACAATTTTTAATTAGAAAAAAATGAAGAATAGTTACGCCGTAACCAAACTTTCTGTGGAGAATAGGGAAATGTGTTTACAGAACCAGGGGTACCTCTGGCATCAAATGAATTTCCATTTGCTGAGCAGTTACTTCCCCGTCAAAACTCAAACAACCAATTTTGGGGATGGAATCCCAGACCCTTACCTCTGAATTACATAGTTGTCGGTCAGGACTCTGAATGAATGTCTTTACGCGTTTAGAGTACTGTAATTAGTCCAGTTGAAGTTTACAAGCGCTACATGTCTTCATCCTGAGATTGCATTTGCTTTACTCAGACTGCTTTCAGAGATATGGACAGTAGGCTGTTCATGTTCAGTTAAGCAGCAGCTAAAAGACAGATTTATCAATCATATCACATTCATGTCGTTGAAGTATTTCCGTGAAACTTCTGATTAGTCATCAGGAATTTCATTTATAAACTGAACTAATGCTAGCTAGACTTTGAAAGCTTTTGTAAGCGATAGTCATTCAGTGTTTTGCTGCCGAAGTTTGATAGTTAAGTTGTTCCCCGTCTCTTTTTGCTAAAAATTATTTAGTCGATTCATTTGGAATTTCTTCCGATTGGAAAACGAACATCTGAACAATTGCGGTGAATTCCGTGCCGTTCGTGACATATTCATTACACCGTTACCTAAGCGTCCCCCTCGCACAGTATCCACGCAACTTTTCTCCACCAATTTCGGCTCACAGCAGAAGCATAATGCGGTCTATCCGACAAACAATTCTGCCCTGAACCCACTTCATCTACATCATCATCTTCGTCATCGTCACAATCATCATTCTTCACCAAAGTCCAAACACGATGACACTTGGACTTTACCTCCAACAATGCTGGCGGACACTAATAAATCATTCCGTATGGATGCGTCCACATCACCGGATCGCGAGTGGAGTCGTGCTGTACAATCCAGCGCCGATCAATCTCGGGCTTGGCGTTTGCTCAATCGAATTAGCACAGCTACCACAATGCGTTTGCCACGTCGCACGGCCAATCGTCCAACAAATCACGCGGACTATCATCATCGGCACTATCACTTTCAACATCACATAATGGACAATATGGAACTAACGGAATCTTTGCGATCCACCCTGCCTCGTAGTGCCCGGGACGAGGAAATAGCTTCTCATTCCACGGATGGTGAATATGTGCCAACACAGGCCAGTGGAGCTGGACCTAATGGAGACAGTCCGGACCGGAGTGCGAGCACTCCGAATTTATTAGAGACTGGGAGAACGCGATCGGGCTCCCTCGCTCAGCAGCCCAGTCCGCTTCATTCTAGTACATCAGATCGGGTAAATAACGAATTTGGTTGATTGTTAAGGGTGCATATACAAGATTTTTAAATTTTATTTTGCGGTATTATAATGAAATGTAAGGATTTGATACCATGCATTAGAAGGTTAATGAGCAGTGACAAAGTAACTCTTGCAAGGTTCACTGAACATTCTGGGGGAATAGACTGTAATGTACGTTCCTGTCGTTCTATTCTTCATTTAAATGGGCAGCTAAAGGATAGTAACCAAACCCGGCGCACGAAAGTGCATGGTTAATGGTTGTCCAAACTGGAACTGAAGCTAGTTGTGGCTGGAGCTAGGAGTGTCAAAGTTTCTCTAAAAGCAAAAAATCGAAAACTTTGAGATGCGGGATTAGTTGGTGTTGCCTAAATCAACTATTATCTCATTTTATTTGTCGTTCGGAAACCGCTGAGTTATTTTTTCACTTGCGTCATCCAATTATTCCGCGACATTATCGATAAAAGTCCTTTCATAATTTCTTTCTTCACATTCTGTGCTATGCTTGGAAATGTATTTTCATTTGATGTATGCTACTAGGCGGAATTGATAAACTCCTTTATGATTATAAAACATCGTAAGACTGAGTGGTGTGTGTGTGGTAATATTATATCATTTTTCTGCTCACACAGTTCGACTTCATTGTTGTCATTGTTCCACAAGGTGTGTTCTGTGTGTGTGTGACTGGTCAACAGCTTTACGATATTTGTAGACGATGTAAAATCAAGTAATACCATGTAGTTTAACCAATGCCTTCGCGTTCCTTTTGGAAGATTTGTCAACCAAAATTAGTATTTCACCTGTACATGCTTACAGGCGCACAGGCGCCTATTGGAATAACTCCCGGAACTGCATCCGGGTAGTGGTCTTCAGTGCATTAAATCATCACGGATCATATTGCGGACGAATATCACCCTTGGTGAAAAGTTTTCTGCCTAAGCTATCGAGTTCAGCTACAAACGGATTTACGCACGGTGATGACAACCTAAAATCCACATAAAGAAGTTTGATTTTCGCTCTCAAAATCCCTGCATTCATATTCACCAACATCTACATCTCCGTCCCACTTTCTAGTATATAGTAAGGCTGAATTGTACTCGTACAGCAAAAAGGGATTCTAAGCGAAACAAAGATCGATGTACAGGATCTTGCCAAGCAAAAGGGTAGTGAACAAACAGGCATACAGATTGCAGAAAGATGTGCCCTGCATAACTAACCTCATAGTTTTTTTTATCGAAATCACACCAATCAGCTGGTAATTACATGATGCATCGGGCAACATTTCAGCGATCACTTTAGTAGAAAAATTTGGATTAGCTTACAGAAAAGAATTATGTAATGCGATATTCAAATGGTAAAATTCAACTGTTTACCACCACAAAGATTTTGTGTTTGAACTCCTATTATAACTAGAACACAGGTTGTAAGCGAACATATGTTTTCGGGGAGTTCCTTATGAAGCCAGTACAATCACATGTATGTGAGGAAAGAACGGGAAAGTGTTGTGTTGGGGTCAAATGTGTCGGGGTCAAATAATTATAGCAAAGGGGTGGGGTAGGGACACATTTGTCACTCGTTCTCATGTTCAGATAAGAACGGGTTACGTAAGGGTTGATAATTGATTGGGGTCATCGCAACGCTCATGATTGATGTTGTCCGCTTTGGGCGAGATCCAGGAAATCCATCAGCTGAAAGATTGAGTAGAGTCCTGAGTGCCGCAGTCAAAACAACGTTCAATGCTGCTAAACTCAGATGCGTGTTCTCAACATCACTCGTCATCCGATGCCAAAACAAGGATTAGTTGCTTATGTTGACCTCGTCAGTGCTCATCTACCAATTCAGGTACACTTGTGGTGCCACTTATGTAGGTTGTACGACAAGGCAGCTATCTAAGCTCATCAAGGAATATCAACCCGCTTGGCTTAGGCACGAAGGAATTGGAGTTATTTCTAGTTCCATTGTTGCACACTTGGTGGAAACTGGACATAAGGTGGATACTAATTCAGCTTTCACCACTCATGAGCGTTGCGATGACCCCAATCAATTATCAACCCTTACGTAACCCGTTCTTATCTGAACATGAGAACGAGTGACAAATGTGTCCCTACCCCACCCCTTTGCTATAATTATTTGACCCCGACACATTTGACCCCAACACAACACTTTCCCGTTCTTTCCTCACATACATGTGATTGTACTGGCTTCACAAGGAACTCCCCGAAAACATGTTCGCCTACAACCTGTGTTCTGATTATGACTATGGGTTTATTCTGAGGTTTGAAATCATCCCGTCATAGCCGCTTGATGCTCCCCATATTATTTGTATTACATGGTGCACCATTGATTGACCGCTTCACCATTGCTGAAATCGTTTAGACAAGTTATGCATTCGATGAAAAGAAAAACGGTGGGTTCCTATTGGTCTCTCCCCTGAGACTTATATACGCTTAAATAAAGCATATCTCTACGGTTTTTCACTTTCATAATAAGATGTCAGGCACAATCACTGAGAGTATTGGTCTCTGGTACCATTACATGGTATTAATTTCTATCGATATCGTTATTCTTATTGTTTGCAATTCGAATCAGATGTAACCAGAGATTGAAAGGTATGGCATAATTAACAATTGTAAACGGGATCTAATGCTTCAAACAGCTGCCTATGAATAATTTAAAAAATAAGTTCTTGAGTTTATTGATTATATTAAGATAACTGTCTTGATAGTTGCGGTATTCCTCAATATCACTTAGACCAATCAAATTTGAGAGTAAAAATGGTGCAGTTTGTGCCAAGTCGGTCGGTAGTCTGATTCCCTGGATGCCCTCCAAATGACCAAGAAAAGTTTACACCAACCTTGGAAAACCAGTGCCGTACTAGCTGATAAAGATTTGCTTTCTTCTTGATCTTTTTCACCAATAATTGAAATCAGTGACAAGAATTTTTATCATCTGATATTTTTGTTTCTTTTCATCTTTTGAATAAAACCAGGTCAACAATAGGTCTGAGGATGTAAGCATTCAGCGATTATCCGTTGTGGCAACACCATCCACTAGTACGCATTGCATCCCAGTGGTACGGGTGACTCGATCCCGGTCCCATAACGACTTAGAGAACTGTGTGCGGACGGATATGTATGATGCACATAAAATCGCTATGGATTCCTCCTGTGACACAATAAGCAGCATGGATATGGATGCCGGTATGCTTCATCCGACCGATACTTCGATCACTCTGCTTAGTCATGATCGTGATCGGATGAGTGGAAGTAGTGGTTCTGTGAATGTCTATAGAATGTTAGGCTCATCTCTGGAACAGCGACCAAGGTTTACGGCCACGTCGTACAGTTCGCTGGAGTCGCCGACTGATCCGGAGGAAGCCCGCCCGCTGCCTGTCGAACGGGTTAGACAAGCTCATATTAACCCATCACCTCTGGTTGATTCCCCTCTGAATGAACGCGTCCATACACTTGAAGTTGTTCAAAATGACTCCTATTCCCTAAGACCAATTTATCCGCGCGTTATTGGGTAAGTTGACAAGTCACTGCGTGTTTTGCGAGGAGTGACAGCGTATATGGAAACATAATTTTTCATGAATTCGCTCTTGAGTTATTTGTATGAGTTCAATCGAACATGAACAGGGATCCAGAAAATCGGTTAAAATATGACTGTTGGTAGTACCTTATAATTAATTTGTGTGTGTGTTGCCCGCTGGTATGTGTACCTGTTATACGGGTCTCGATAGCTCCAATCTATAAAGCGTTCATGCGTGTCGTAATCGACTGTTGACCGTGGTGGTTGACGCAGCCGAGTTATGTTCTTTTATCATCATAATTCAGTCTAATAGTTTCAGCCCTCACGACCTTCCGAATCTGGTTGCCCTCGATCTATACAGTTGAAGTCCTTAAACATAATTGTCATAAGTACGACTTCCATGAAGTTTATGTTTTTGCAGTAAATAATAATACTATGATTGCGGGGTATGCGTTTACTTGCACGATTGGATTGCTCTATGGTCCAAATCCAGCGACTTACCCGGATCTGTTTTTCAAATCAGTCTCAATATTGCTTTCACACTATTTTGGGTGATTCGTCTGTCATTGTTAACTATTCGCCACCGTTACAGAAAAGTAAAATGCCAGGTAATGAGTAAGCTCAAATGGAAAGTAAATACGTGATTTATTTTTATCAGTTTTACAAAAACACAGCTATAATCCACCGTGTTTTTCTCATTACTTGACCTACAGGAAAATTAAGCGTTAACAAGATTTTCCAAGTTTTTCTGATATGAAAACCCTATCCCGAAAATAAGCTATGTCCACTAGCTACCAGGTGATTCGAAAAATGGGTGAAGATAACCCAATAGACACCAGTGGTAACTATATAATAATGAACTAGTGTGGACCATAATTTATTGCGTCACTCATACTAAACGAAGAAATAGAAATATGGTGCTGGCGTTTCATCTTTATCTTTTTTACTCCTCGTTAGTAAGTTTCGGGATTGTAGTTGCCACATCTGTTGCTTAAGTCTTAAGTTAACATTTAGCTCAATGGTGGACCGATGGGAGCAATACTCTGACCTAAGATAAAAGTAGTAGAGTCGAAAGGACTGTTTTGTCGATTTCAATAAAGGAATCGTTGAAGACTCCTGTGGTGGGATATCTGACGGCTTTCTATAAAGAGAAAAAGCTTTTTCCCTCGACCAATCCACCAACGGATTGGGATAACTTCATTCAACAGCTGAAAGAAAGCAGTGCTAATAATTTCGAAGGAAAATTGGGTTATTGATTTCTGACGTAGAAAATATTCTCTATGAATGGCTTGCTGAGAAGAGAGATTGGACTTTGGCTGAGAGCAAGATTGATCCTTGTGAATCTGCCATTGTAATCACACCACGTTTTCAATGTATACATACAAGGTCATTCATAAAATCACAATGTAGACTGATTGGCCTTCAACCATAAAACCTTCCCTAAGTCGATCGACAACACTGTTCAAGCTGGAGCATATTAAACTTTATTAACTTAGATTCACATACTCGGTTGCTGGTATAGCCGTTTCCGTGTTCCAACTCTGCACCATGGTAGCCACAAATGGAACCTCAGTATTTGTGGATTTTGCCTGTCAATGACAATAGGAGTGCCTTGTCAATCTACATTTCGGAGAATGTAAGCATGTTTATTACCTGTAGTGTGGCACTAATTGGATGGAACCAAACCCTATCTTGTGATTGAGGAAAATGATAAGAATGAACGGGTTTCAGGAAATTTTGTTCTTGAAACCAAAAACCCTGGTAGCTACAGGCAGGTATGGGGAACTCGCGGTCGATTCTACATTTTCCCTCGATTTACGGTAGAGCAACAAGGTCTTGTCGTCTGAAGTTCACCTATAATGAAACGCCATTAAGACACAAAGAACTGTACTGTCGAGAGACCAATAGATCAAATAGCGTGCCTGTTCCTGTCATTTATGACTTGGTGTCTGTAACCTGTTAACACTGGACTAGAATTATCTCTTGAGAACAATTTACGTATTGAAATCATCAACTAGAGTCCGAACAAAAAACAGTGAACAGGGAAATTCGAGTGGAGCTTTCTGTACCTTACGATTTTGAAGACAATTTTATGGATTATCATCAGTGACACTATTGAAACTGTATAAGAATGAAGGTAAATACCTTGCATTGAATGAATGTAGGCTTTCAAATATTAAAAACTACAAACTCCCAAAAATTAAGTTCCAAGGCATTTAAGCAAACTAATGCGTCACAGAATTAAAAACACAACAGTTTATGATATTGTTTTCCATTTTAACAATATAATCTAGCAATATTGTTGATCTGTAATATTCAACAGAGCTTAATGCAATCAGTCCGCAAGAGTTTGTTCGAATATAATACTTTGAAAAAATAATATTTCTGGAGATTAGTACTGTATTAGTCTTTCTGCTGTACCTCTAAATGGACTATTCACTTTGATAACGTCGTTTGCGGTGCGTAGTGTGAGTATTTGAAGTTACTGGGATTTTCGGTGCTAAAGTTTGTTTGAATGGCCCAGTCACGGGTGGGTCACATTAGTGTTTCTGTGTTGTGTTCGCGCTAACGTTTGGCCAAGAAAACGACAAGGTTTTAACAAGCACAAGGTAGCCTGCTGCATTTTTCCCGTCCCATGACATAGGTATTTGCAATGGATTACTCGCAAGGAAATGTTTTAGCTGAAACGCACTCTCCTCGATCAACCACCCATTTATCATTTCACTCATTTTTGTGTCCTCCTACACGAAGTCTTTGCTACGATTTGATTCAAAAATAAATTGCCTGAAAATTCCGCTTAGTATTTTCTGGACTCTTCTGTGTGTTCCCGTATAGTGAAGAAGCTAATAGGCCACCACTGATTCGAATATACTTTCCAGCTTGTTTATCTAATTTTTTATCTATCAAAATATGATTGCATACAGTGCCATTCACATTTTTGCATTGAAAACAATCCAAAAGTGACACACCGTATTCTACCGGATTGGTGGTATCCGATCCAACTCATCAGTCGAAATCCAATCCACAGTCAGAGCAATCGCGATCACATTGAATCAAGCCATCGTATGTGCTCTTAAACAGTTTTTGAAGATCTTATTGTTGCCCTGTTCAAAGATCAGTGAGAGCATGTGTCAGCGTAATCCACACGCGACTAGTTCATCTGGAAACGTTCTTTACCGTCAACTATCTCAACAACAGTTTGAACATGCATACTGCTTTCGTTAATTCCACAAGTTCAGTTCCGGGCCGGAACAACGATACGAGCATGGATAACTTGGGTAACATATATAAAAGCGACTCATCTGGAATACACTGATTTGCTCTTGTTCATTTTTAACCGCCAGTCACATCGTTTTCCGAAATCGAAACATTTTCCTCAGGAATATTAGTAATACTTCACAACACTGCCGGCTGTAATGACTTCATAGCAAAAATCAAAGAAACGAGCTTTTGCCGCTTCCGGAACCGAACTAGTGTAGTATTTTTGACTCAGTCAGCATGCGAAAGTCAACTCAGCTGCGGTCAAAGGCGCTAATGCATCGGCGTTTAATCTATGGAATCTTGGATTCACTTTTGTTTCAATGAGTCATAACTATTGATCATAGCCGGCAGAAACAACACAATCAGTTCAGTTCGCGTATTCTCTGATTTGGACGCGGCTGTTTCTCTTCAACAATTCAGTATGTCAGTAAATGACTTGAGAAATTTCCTCTTACCGCTTAGTATTACATGATGCATTTTGTTATACATGGGGTTGAAGAAACTCGAACTGAAAAGCTAAGAAGCACTGCACAGTTGTTTGGGTTTGATTACTAGTGCGAATCCGTTGACCCAATTGAGCCAAGGAAATCGAATAAAATCATCTACTACTATCTATAAACAAGTAGTCAGGATCAGAATGATTCCGATCGAGTTATAGCTTTGGGGACTACATAGTTGTAAGTTCGACGAAGCGGGATGCATGCATCAAACTTGCTAGTATAAGTTGTGCTGTATCGGTAAAGTGAAAAACCATCTGATCAGCCATCCGGTGCTCAGGTGGGTAGTAGTATGCTTGCGGTCTAACTGTACGGTCCCCGGTTCAATACTCAGTTGGGTTAACGAGACCAAAACGGATGAACACAGCCAAAATCCGCTAAGAAATCGACTAATATCTCGATTATCTCTCCCCTTGTGGTAAATATCTGTTGGGATGATATCGAATAACCGATTTCTTTCGCCTTTCTACAAACATCTCCATGTGATGGTTGTGTTAAATATGCTCATTGTGTCGGTAAGCTATGCAAAATGTGTTGCTGGTTAACAACTTATCAAGATGCAGTACGGAGTGAGGATGAAGGTAATCGTTATCATGATTTCTGAAGCGCAGTTTACCCAATTTTATCAACGTAATTTTGTCTTGTGTTTCGATTCGCATCAGTGTCGATTCTTCATATTTCCCGAGACGAACTGCTCTCTTTGTACATCTGGTATGACGTTTGGAAAACCTTATTTGGGTGATGGTAGTTGTCGACTTCGTGGTGATGGTGATGGTGATGGCGGAGGATGCTTAATTTTAAGACCCAATAACATATCAACATGTTTGATCAACATTTTACAGGAATAATTTCCTTACTTTTTCACGCGCAAATTTTACTGTTCTGTTACACTAACCTTTAGGATTTGTAGATGAATTAATGTCACGTTTATTTTCATCTTATTCGACAGTATTGAACCGAAGCCACCTCCGACGAGCTCGACACACGAAGGTGATCCGTGAGCATTCTGCACGTGTGATCGCCCCACTTTGGTCCGCATTATTTATGTAGACCACATAGCTCTCAGCTTCACGCATGCGGTCCATCTAAAAGGCCTACGCAAACACGCAGCGACGACAACCAACAAGTGGGGTCATTGGGTTGCTGTATATGACGCATAATCTTTACCATTCAACCAACCAACATCATCATTATTGCCATGATCATCATCAATTGCAGCATTATCACTACTGTACTGTTCGAAATCGTCTATCACCAAGTACTATTTTTATTCGGATTTTTCAACAATTTATCAGCACTCTGCGTGCATGATTTTTTTTAACTATCCTATTTGAGAAACATCTTCAATTAATCCTTAAAGTCCCATATTCTCCCAGCTGTCCATATACACGCCAGTCTATGTTTGTGAGGTTTTTGTGCAAGCCTCTTATTTGGATACGGCTGATCCGCGCCACCTACCGACAGTTTAAAGTGCTTTCCAGATGCTCAAAGAATCATCCTCCTAGTCCTCCCTATCTCTGTTCACGGAGATCCCCTAGAGTATTACACTAATTTTTTATTTATTTCCCAACACACATGTATACACACACACTTGCTTAAGTGCGTGCGTCAGTGAGCAGAAACGCTCAGAAATTAGCGCACTTTTAAATTGATGCCTTTTGACCTATCAGGTGTTTCCTTTTTTAATTTGTTTTCTTGCCTACTGCTTCTTTTCTCCTTCCGATTTTCAACCGAGATTCTTGCTCTCTCACTTTTACAAAGTTTGGCTATTCGTGCATGCACACATGTATAAAAAGCGTACAACAAGATGCAAATCGCATTTTGTGCGAACTCATCCTGAGGGGGGGGGGTAGGAGGTTCCGAGAGATAAGTGAANTAAGTGAAGAATTAGAAAAGGTACACTCGTGGATGTGTATAGTGACGAAAGACTGAATGTCTTGCGTAAAAGCGTCATTTTGAACTCGCATCTGTGAGAGCTGCAGCTAAGGATCGGATAGAGTACAGTTGGTTTAAAAATCATTTGAAACGCCCTACCCGTTCGCTGCACACCACAACTGCTATGAGATCAGTTTCATCACGGATTAAGCAGATCACCGCTGCGCTTCTGCTTACATGCACCTCACGCATTGAGATTACATTTCAAACTTCTGCTGGGAAAACAAATCCGGGGACCCGATTTGCCCTCATTACATTTGGGTGGATATATCAAAGCGCTGGCTTACTCGCTTGAGAATGAATGAGTGCTCTGCACCACCTATAACAGTCAAATTCGCTGTCAAATCAATCCAGTCATCTATGTTCGTTATTGTTATTACAATTCAGTCACCATAACAGCTGGAATGTGTGAATCCGCGGATAGGCATTGTTAATGACTACTAACCAAAATGTTGTACCCCTGAAGATTTAATAAATACCCTCGAGGCATAGCTGTTTCGAATTTCATTATATCCAACACATCACTAGACGGTTTGCATTAATTGTATTGGACTTATTTGGTATGTGCACTGCGTAGCCTCTGTGTTCTATGTTTTAAACTACTTTATTCTTATTGAAAAAGGTTATCCCTGAAATGGAGAGATTTGCAGATATCACTTGACCGAATCTCATATTTACTCATACCCATTTAGACATGGTCTGGTATAGGTAGGGTATGAGCAATGTGCGCGTTTTAAGGAGGTAGGTGCGTGGGGTATGCACGCACATTCGGTGTTGTTAGGTGCTGCACCACTTGAGTACCTGATCGTAGTAGGTATATGTATGTATTGTAGTGTCCAACCCCCAAGCGTTTCTCTGAACAGTCTCATTCATAAGTCAGTAGGGTGGAGCTTGAGTTATACTATT